ACCCTTTACAATTGCCACAAACAACATAAAATACCTTGGGGTAGCACTAACCAAAAAAGTGAAAGACCTGTACAGTGAGAAGTTTGAGTCTTTAAAGAAAGAAATTAAAGACGATACTAGAAAATGGAAAGATCCCCCATGTTCTTGGATAGGTAGGATCAACATCTGTACCATAAGAATTTTGAGTCTCTAAAGAAAGAAATTAAAGAAGATACCAGAAAATGGAAAGATCTCCCATGCTCGTGGAGAGATAGAATCAACATAGTAAAAATGGCAATCTTGCCAAAAGTAATCAACAGATTCAACGCAATGTCCATCAAAATCCCAACACAGTTCTTCACAGACCTTGAAAGAACAATTCTCAACTTTATATGGAGAAACAAAAGACCCAGGATAGCCAAAACATCCCTATACAATAAAGGAACTTCTGGAGGCAACACCATCCCTGACTTCAAGCTCTATTCCAGAGCTATAGTCCTGAAAACACCTTGGTATTGGCACAAAGTAGACTGGTAGACCAATGGAATCGAATTGAAAAACCCTGATATTACCCCACACAACTATGAACACCTGATTTTTGACAAACAATCCAAATTTATATGGATGGAACAAAGAGAACATCTTCAACAAATGGTGCTGGCATAACTGGTTGCAGACATATAGAAGACTGCAGTTAGACCGAAGCTTATTGCCTTGTACAAAACTTAAGTCATAATGGATCAAAGATCTAAACATAAATCACCCCAGCCACACTAACCCTATTAGAAGTCAAAGTGGGAAATACCCTTGAATTAATTGGTACAGGAGACTGCTTACTAAACATTATACCAGTAGCACAGACACTGAGATCAACAATTAATAAATGGGACCTCTTGCAACTGAGAAGCTTCTGTAAGGCAAAGGAGACAGTCAGCAAGACAAAACGGCAGCCCACAGACTGGGAAAAGATCTTCATCAAACCCATATCTGACAGAGGGCTGATCTCCAAAATATACAAAGAAACCAAGAAGCTAGTCCCCCAAACACCAAGCAACCCAATTAAAAAGTGGGGTACAGAACTAAATAGACAA